CATGTCTCTTGTTGATTCCAAAAAAAAAAAAGTTACTTTCAAAGCACGTTCGCTGGCAAATTATTGGAAAAAAAAATTAAAAGGCCTATCAATTCAAAAATTGCAAAGCACTCAAGTTTTAGCAGGTCTTTATTTTATAAGTCGGGTTCTTACACATTTTCAAAGATGTTTCTGTATTGAAAAACTTCCATTGCTTTCAAAAAAAACACGTTCTCTAAACATGAAAAATATAAAATATCTTAAAACTTCATGAAAGAAAAATTTGACTGATACTTGTATGAATTATGGAATTTTGGTTGGGCATAACATCAGTCTTACAACAATTTGGAAGACACAAAAAAGTAATATTTCGTATATTTATACATATTTTTATTTTATAAATTTATTAACAATTTTAATTCTATAGATTTCAAAATTTGCAAAAGAAAGAAATGAATCAGTATATCCCAAGTCAGTTGGTTTTTTTCAGATGAAGCTGCTTATGACAGAAGAACACTATCACGACGCTATGACTAGAATTTTTCAGGATTGCGTGCTCAATAATATGCATTTTTGTTCGAGGAAGACTCACCATAGAAGGTGCATTGTATATTAATAGTCTTTTATCGTATTGTATTCAAGAAGGTTCTATGAATTCTATTGATTATAAATTCTATATCGTAAATATGATTTGAAATCGGTAATTTAATTTGTGACGTAATATCATAGCTATTAAAAACATCAATACGATATATTAAAAATTAGACCTGATTCCAAAAAAAAATATTTTCTATATACTAATCATGCCGAAATCAATAGCTTAAATTGGATCGGCCAAAAATCATTTGGCTAATTTTTATCAGGTGTCCCAGGAACAGGGTTGTTAGTGGTAAACTTACCGTGGTAAGTTACCGGTAAATTACGGTAAGTTACCGTAAGTTACCATGGTAGGATACCAAATACACATTTGAAAGTCCGTAAATTTCGTAATAGTAGGCAATTAACGGACATGAAGCACGGATACTTTCGGAATAAAGCATAGATTACTTTCACGGTAACTTACAGTAACTTACCAGTAACTTACCATTTTGGTAACTTACAATAAATTACCGTAATTTTACAACCCTGCCCATGCCCCATTTAGAAAATTTACGGTAGAACAGTTTTTTATTGGAACAAAAAATTAAGAAACCCACAGATTTGTGATTCTATCCCGCGCGGGGATTTTTGAAAAAACTGCGATTTGCCCATCTCTACTTATCATTCCAATTGATAAGAAATGGAGGTCCAAACATCCTTTTTTTTCATAGAGTTTCGCTGATTGGCTAAAATTTTTCATTGATGGATTACAAAAAATAACTATTCAAACACTTTTACCCTTTTACCAATATGGATCTTCAAAGCCTTTATTTATCAGTTATATGGCACTAGATATAACCATCCCATTCATTTTTCCTTCACAAGATGTAATGGCTCAACGTTAGCCAAAGCTAAAAGCGAAACCTAAAAATATTACATCACTAATTAAAAATTTTCACATTCAATATTTGTTTACTTATAGTAAAGGATCCAGAAAAAGTTGTGTCGGCTAGTTTTGTTGCAGCAACCTATGAAAGTTGGCGGAGTCTGAAAAGGATGAAGCAGAAATTGTAATTTCTGACATGAGTTTTTGGCTTCTATTGATTTATCGTCCTTTTTTTATTTTTATTTTTATTTTTTTTTATTACGGTTTTGTAAAAGCAATAATTTTTTTAATGGTAACGATAAGATAGTAATAATAAATGTATTTGCACAACCATCAATCGAAATCAATATTTCGATTATTGAACGTAAACACTAATTTCATCGAGGAAGATACTTGAGAATACGTCAATTACATTATTATTTGTCCTATTGATCTTTAACAAAGGTCTAATTAATTTTACCATAACAGATGAGCACCATTACGATCACTAACTAACTAATTGAGTATGCTACTTGATAACACCCTAAATCTGATAAATTCAAAGACGATAGAATGAAAGGTGCATTTTCATTCAATAAATTCAGGGTCAACACCGATTTGCCAATATGTGAAGCATGTAAGACTTTGAGAGTTTTTCTTGCTCAGGGATTTGGGTTATTCTAAATGTTTTAAGCAAAATAAATTAATTTTTAATATTAACTTGCTGTTACATATTACAGAAGAGATTGGATAAATCCAAACCTTATTATCTCCTTTAAATTTAGAACATGCACCCAGGTTAATTCGCACACTTCTTTGAATGTTATTAATAAGATCCAAAGTTTTCAGAAATTTGAAAAAAAGGCTGACAGCTCATTACAAACCCAGTGTCGAGATATAGTACTGGACTTAACCAGATCGACCTCGATTTGTGATGTTTGCCCTAAAAAAAAAGCCGCTCAAGAATGTGAATACAAACAGACAGGAGAGTGTGACTAGAGGAAGGTGAAGAGGTTGTGAAAAAGGAGGGGTCATGGTTCAGAACCTTCATAGACATTCGATGTGGTATATAATATGTCGTGTTGTCATATTTATTGAAATTTTGATAATATATACAATAGTCTATTTTGCAATCTATCATAATTTTTTCTTTTTTTTTTAAAAAAAAAGGATTGACTGCTTAGAATACTACAGAAGATCCTTTACGGACGAAACTTTAAATTTGAGAGTTATTCTAACTACACATACTTTTTATTTTAGCTCATGAAAATAACCTTAATTGTATTTTCTAAGTCCGTTTTGTTGTTCAACGAAACTTTTATTATATTTTATACTGTATTATTAATTCCGCAAACATATGGAATTAATCATGAATCCTGCTTCATTAAAAAGCATATGGGGCGCAGATGAAATACTTAACATTAACCTTTTTTTATACTTTCCCGTTTTCTGTACCACTTTCTGACTTTACACTTTATCGTGGTGAGGTTCTGAAAGCATTTTGGTATACCGGGATAAACCGTCTCTGCTAATCAATTATGCAATTAAAAAAAACCAGATATTTATGAAGCAGTCTGTATTGTTTATTTTTAAATCACGTGGTTCTTTTAGCACTATTTATTCCGCAATATGGATACAAGAAGTCATTGGAATAAAGATGATGCTGGCGGATCAGAAATGGTCCAACTGAATGTGCATTAAAAAGGATTGAAAATTTTCAATTAAGCACTGAGTACTTAATGATGTTAGTGTATTCTTTTATATACTGTGCGTACGTACGCACATATTCGTAAAATCTTTGTATTAAAAAATGATCTGCTTTTATTTATTTAGGTTTTGAAACATCATCAGTATTTGTATTTATATGGTGAATTTGTGGCTGGTTTCTTTGGCATATCGAGATCCTAGAGGTTGCTTTTCGTTATGAAACTATGTGATAAAACTTGTATCAATATATTGGGAAATGCGATCTTTATACTTCATAGTGTAGTATAATAATAATGGTCATTATCATGGCAATCTTCATGATAGAAACTTGTGCAATAATCACAGAAGTCGGTTTATACGGTCCAACAAATTCTGGTATTTATGGTGTCTAACCTTTACGATGCACTGGAAGTATTAGCATCAGACATATATAGTTTTGGTTTTATAATGTGGACTTTATCAGAATTCGGGCTTGCAACACACATATGTAATGGTTTACGACCAGAAATCGTTACTAATATTCCGGAAGTATACTTATCATTAATGAAAAAGATACTGCATCAAAACCCTGAAGAATGTCCTAATGTCGTAGAGTTATGTGAGATGTTAGATAGTTGGACAACAGGGACGCTAATAATTGATTTTAGTAAGTTTTTTTTTAAAACTTTAAATTAAAATATCTCAACTAATAGAATTAAAATAAAAAAATTTTTATCAAGTTTGGTTTAATAGTTGCTGAGATATTTTATTTTAAAGTTTAAAAAAAATTTACTTAGAAACAATTTGCTTGGTTTCTACTGACACCACCCCATATGTATTCGAGAGTCGAACCATTGACCCTAGGGCAATATACAAGAATCAGTTATTAAACTTTCAACCTCTTCACACTATAAATAATCACTTATTTAAATATCGATACGAATTTTTAAATTTAAAGTACTTATAATGATAATTTAATTTTTATAGTGGCAAAATCTAATATGATTTATGTCGATAATATAATTTTTCTAGAGTGACTGATCTTTTTTTACAAAATAATAATTGACTCGATAAGTTACCAGGCCAGAACAACAGATATAAATTCGTTCATCGACAATTTTTCCTATTGTACCAGGATTTTGAAAATGGTTGTTATAGCACTATAATATATAAAGAAATATAGTGCTGGTTTTAAAAGAGGCCAAGTGAAACGAGGGTGAAAGAATTGTCGAAAGAAAATCAAAATTTATATGTTTTTATAATTTATTCGCAAATAATCTCACATGTTGAGTTCTATTTTATTAGATCTCAAAAAAATTATAATATAATTAGTAAAACATTATATCATAGTAAATAGAAGCGGGTACTATACTAAGGGGTACTGGAATGGTGTAAGGGTATTATGCTAATGGATAAAAAAGAATTTGTAATTTCTGAATTATCATTACAATTAATTAAAGTTGTTGTTCCTACAAAGAGTGTCTCTGATCTCTCTCCCTCCAATTATGCCAATCTGACTTTCTTCAATTTTTAATGAATTTAAGGTCTTGTTCATGCAAGCACGCCTACAAAGGCCACACCTCCAAGTGTGCCAAGATTATTTTTAGAAACGGTTATGGACGTTAAGGTAGTGTTCCTATAAAGAGGCAGCACCACGAAGTCAGTCAGATCTTCGAGAGATGCTGTGGTACCATAAAAATTTAATGTCAATGTCATGTTTTTAATAATGATTTCCTCCAATGGTTTTGTTATTAACAAGGGTTGTCATTATTTTGTTATGAACGAACCCGTTTATTTTTAGTACATGTACAAAGCGCGCACCTATATGGAAGTGTCAGTAGAACACAAATTTTTTTTTAGTTTTTGTTATTTTTGTTTAAAGATTTAAAAAACTTCATTAAAAAAGATTTGGTGCGATTCTACTAACTCACCTATGTACATACGAGTATGAGCTTCTTCCCTTAATCACATCACAAATCCCGAATTTTTTAATCCAGTTATACTGTTATTTTTCCGGCTGAAAAATAACTTACTGATAGAAGCCTCAGAGGCAGGAACATTGGCAGGTGAGATGGTCGAAATATTGGAGGTGGACCTGCCGATTTACGTACAGTACAATACGTATGTACGTCAGTGCACATAATTTACTGTAAAGTTTTGAATAAAGGAGATGGGGGATTAGGTCAATTTTTAATATTACGATTCGAATTTTTGAAAAAATTAATTATGTAAATAAACGCTTGTGAGTAATGTTGATATATATATATATATATATAAATTGATGTAAACGTCTGTCGGTAACAATACGGTTTGTCGATCATTCGTCACAAGATAGTACGTATGGATCATAACAATCACGATACTAATTTAGTTAGATCCACAATGGACGTCATTTCGAACTGTCAAAATTATTTTTAGGTCGAAATCAATTTTGCTAGCCTGATGTGTGAACAAAAAAGAATGTTTAAATCGACCTTTAAACATGACGAAACTTGAAATTTCACATATAATAAGCACTGATCTATCGTTATATCCTTTAATACCAACACTAACCCTAAACTTCTATCTTTACGCACTTAATTTTTGTTTACAAAATTAAATAAGTATTTATATGATTTAATTATGATTCACTAATAAAGTTTCTACTAACGTGATATATGATCTGTTGCCAATAAACGTTAATAAAAAATGTAAATTTGGAATAAAGCAATCATTACATAGTTGAATTCTTGTTATCGTTAGTTAGCATAATACTATTCGTTGAAAACATGATCGACAAAATTAATCGATATTTAAGATTTAAAAGGTAACACCGCTTTTATGAGGCCCTATAGATTTATTTGGATTGTTACCAGACGATGTCAAAATGCACGGACAATTTTCAACTGTCAAAAAAATTTTCATTTAGAATCTATTAAAAATTTAATAGAATATGTACAATAAATCAAACTAAATTTGAAGAATGGAAACAATTAAAAAAATTGTCTTATCCAAAAAGATCGACTTTTTGGCAAAAAAAAATTTGCCTCAAAAAATTGTTTATCTTTGCATTACCAAATATTCGATATGTTATTACTGTAGCTTCAATAGATAACAATACACAATCTGATAAAATCCAATACACAAAACCATCAATGCAACTTATACAAGAGCACACTTCTACTATTCATAATGATTCTTCTAATATGATAAAGAGTTGGATAAATCATATTATTATATTTATATCGGAAAATTTTGTTGAACCACTTTTAATTGCTTGCAGATGTTGATTTTATTTTTACCATTGATCATTGGATCACGATCATCTTCTTTGGATCAATATTACCCGAACATGGCAATGAAAGGACAGGAACTATTTTGTGGTATAGAATACTGGTCCGTCAAATGGAATCGGCTGGACCAACATTTATAAAGGCTAGTCTAGGTTTTCTCGTGTTTTAGTTAAGCCAACATTAGATAATCTTTTTTTTTTGAATAGCTTGCGCAATGGGCTGCCTCAAGAACTGATATATTTCCTCAAGAGATGTGCAGCCATCTGTCAAAACTTCATTCGTCTGTAGACGCACATCCATTTAGTAATACGAAACGAATTGTTGAAAAAGCATTTAATAAACTATTTCATGAAATTTTTTCGGAATTTGATGAGATACCAATTGGGATTGGTGCTATTGCACAAGTAATTGGTTTTTTTTATGAAATTGTTTAATAAGCAATTAATATTTAATAAGTTTAATAAGATATTACATATTAATATAGGTATATAAAGCTAAAATTCATTCTGAGATACTTCCCACAGAATATTATAAGAATTATCAAGAAGATTCAAGAGCTATATCCAAAAAACAATTTAAGGTC